TAAACGTACCGACGTTCTATGTGTATTTTCGGCCGTCATATACAGATTTTTCACTTGTTTTAACATTGGCAGGAATAATTTCAATTCGCGCATTTTATACGAAAATGCGAAGTCCAACCATTGACGGAACCTTTGTACGCCCTCCGGTGTTGGGAACTTGGAACACTACGTTTACCTAAAGCCAACCTCGGCGTTTATCAATCTAATAAAACTCGCGAATCACCGTCGGCGTTTTGATAAAATACTGTTACAATGGTTTCATTGTCGTGTACGGTAGAAATAATTTTAGTTCGCGCATTTTATACCAGCCATTGTCGGAACCTCTGTACGGCCTCCGGTGTTGGGAACTTGGAACACTACGTTTACCTGAAGCCAACCTTGGCGTTTATCAATCTAATAAAACTCGCAAATCACGGCGTCGTTATATAACGAAATCACACTATTAAACTTATTAAAATAATTTTCTTCAGGAAATTCGTTACTTGGTTTCTCTGAAAATCATTACATAGCCTTGTAATTTAACATGCACTGGTTCAATTTTCCCATTTAGGCGGGGACATTGATTTACTTATCTGATCATCTTGGAACATTATTATTAGAATGCTTTTAATTATTATCACAATATAACAACTACTTTGCTGTACAACACATTCACCATTCTATGAATATTCTTATGTTGTCATCATCATTGAATGTTTATGCATTGCTATGTTCATACAGCTTCACATTTGGTTATTACACATGTACAATAAATTTGAAAATCTACAGAACCATAATGAATTTCAAATAATAAACTAACCTATATTTTGTATAAATAAACTATATTTTGTTTTCTCTTCCATAACAAGAATCCATGTGCATGGTTGTGGCTATACATACACATATAAACTATAAGGTTGCTGGGTTTTTTTAAAAGTCGCTAGTGTAATAATTGCATCGATTAACGGTTGACTAAATAGGGGAACATGTAAAAGTTGTTAATGTACTATGCTAAGTTTCGGGCATATTTCAAAGTAATCATGGTGTAATTGTGCCGATTAACGACTTATATAACAGGTAAATAGTGTGAACGTACCACACAGTCAGTTGTAAAAGTGGAAATACTGTTTACTATGCTAAGTTGCAAGGTTTTTTTTCTAAAAGAAACCCAGGTCGCAATGACAATGAATGTACTACACATGTAGTAATATTCGTCGTGCCACAAGCGTGTTCATGCTCTCTGTTATAAGCTCTCTTTCAATTATAAAACCTGTTTTATTATTCGGATAAAATAACTTTTCATTCGTACAGTCGATGGCCTCGTCGTCATAATTCAAAGTACCACCTGTTGCATATTATTGAATATTGGTAATTCCCAGTTACATTTAACATTAACAATTTCTCTGACTGTAAAAAGAGAAAATAATAAATTATTGGTACTATATTAATTTTATTTAAAACTTTAAAAATACGGTAACGACGCCGTAATTTGCGAGTTTTACTAGATTGATAAACGCCGAGGTTGGCTTTAGGTAAACGTAGTGTCCAAGTTCCCAACACCGGAGGGCGTGCAAAGGTTCCGTCAATGGTTGGACTTCGCATCTTCGTAAAAAAAATGCGCGGATTGAAATTATTCTGCCAGCGACACCACTGAGAAAGTATTTTATTCAAACACCGATGGTAAAACAAGTGAAAAATCTGTGTATGACGACAGAAACTACACATAGAACGTCGGTACGTTTACTTCCGGGACGTGGCAATAGCCATATTGTCTCCTGCCACGGGCGTGGCACGAGACACGGCCAAATTATTTTATTATACGACTTTTCTAGCTTAACACTTGTCACGGTATTCATGCTAATTATAAACCGGCCACGCCTGTATTTATCCTATTGTCAAAGTACATTATTGTTTTCTTGGAATGTCCCCAGCATTGAATCACGTCATGTCTTTTATTGCAAAATACAGATTCCATTGTTACACGGAGCGCCAGGGGGGGGGGGATTTTATGACGACGTACGAATCCCGGGTACGAATGAACGTGAAGGTATAAATGTAACGCAGTTGGTACACCACGGAATGTTGGTATGTGCATTAAAATACATCAAGAACATGGAATGTCGTACTTGTATTTTAATCAGATTGAGACGCAGGCCCCCGAGGGCGCAAATGCCGAATGTGAAATTGTCAATCTTCAGTATACAATCTGATTGTACCTCCGAGTCTATGGGTTGCTGTACGGTGGCCATAGTAACCATGTCACGTGTGAAAGAGGGGCTTCCCCCTAACTATGTCTCCGATGACGCATTTAGCTCCATGCATTTCCACCATCGAATCAAACTTTTAAACTATAACAATGGGTAACTGTTCGTCCAAAAGAATCCAACCGCATGATAGTGAATTGTCATGCATTCATTCCAACTTAGGTAAGTTGTTGAGCTACATACGTAAGTTTTACAGGACGAGCACACGCCTTTGAGGTGTACATGGCAACGGTTCGTACACTAACCATATGCATTTAATACTCGTGTACGTCATTGCACTACACCACACACGTTAACTTCTTCTGCCGAACAATCTACGTGTTTACATTTTAGATGAATCCCAACGAGTGGTTGAGCTGCATTACCTTTGCAAGCATACATATGTGTCAAAGTTGGCATGGCCATTGGAAACTAAACAAGGTAGAGTATTATTTTACAAACTGTTATTCTCCGATGAGTGATATGGGGGGTTCTCTGAATAAAATATGGTACGCAAGCTGAAGTAAAAAAAACGCGTAAAAGGGGTGTTATTTAGTTATTTGACGCATATACGCGTGTACCGGATGTAACTTAGGATATAGTAATAAAGTGTGAAAAAGGAATCTCATGAATTAATGTTACTGTCAACTTGGAAACAGTATGATTTTAGTATGTATATGGGGTATCTATTTTAAGTTTCTGCACTTGAAAAGGGGTGTAATTTCACAAAAATAAGTACGTGTTTAGAGGCTTTTTTGAAAAGCTATACTCCAGCATGGGTACCAGGTCTAACCCTGAGTACCACCCCTGGGGGGTGATGGCAATGATGGAATATTTAACAAATTTGTTCTATTATAACATGCATTCAAGTTGCTTTCTTATTTTGTATTGAATGGTTATAATGTTATGTTATGTTTTAGATTCCCCAGGCAGCAGAAAATCCTCCTTCAAATTTAAGTCACTGTTAATAAGAAGAGAAAAGGAAGAATGGAATTGCGAAGACGGGGACACATCCACAATTGCAGCCACAGAAGACGGCACAGATGAGGAGGGTGCTGCCTCGTCTGAGGGGGTTGCTGTCTCGTCTGAAGAGGGTGCTGTCTCACCTTCTTCATCAAATTATGCCTCTGGAAACAGTCCAGAACGTCAACAAGCCAAAGACAGATTCGATGCCAGCGGGGGTCATCTGATTATAAATTCTACAGGAGTAAGCCTCTTCATCCCACCTAACGCTATTGATGATGGTCGAACTGAAGAAATCACTCTCACCATAACCCATAAAACGTGCTACCAACCCCAGTTATCGGAAAAAGAAAGTGTTATTAGCCCTGTTATCATTTGTGGACCGCCTGGTTTGAAATTCAATAAACAAGTTGTATTGACGTACCCCCACTGTGTTAGCCTCAGGGGTGATAAGTGGCAAATGAAACCGCTCATCTGCGACACTGCTCCAGATGTTCCGACACATTACGACGATCTCCGAGACGACGCGAATGCACTGTGTTTTTTTGATGAGCAACGTTGCACAATACTAGTGGACCATTTCACTGGCTATACAACATCCGGGGAACCAACGACATGTGGAGGTTCATCTGAACCTATCAAAATTATGAACATCATGGTATTCTCTTCTCTGGAAGAGGATGGTATTTTGAAGTTGAGGATCCACGTCATCAATAAAACCGATGACGCAATACAGGTATGACTTAGATACTTTACTCAAAATGCCTTAGACCAGAATATAATAATAATAATATTAATAATAATAATATTAATAATGATAATAATAATAATAATAATAATAATAATAATAATAATAATAATAATAATAATAATAATAATAATAATAATAATAATAATAATAATAATAATAATAATAATAATAATAATAATAAGATGTACCGAATATCTAATTGGTATCTACCTTTTGTCACTACAGAATGTGATCGAAGAAGAACGTACAATGAAAGGCAAGCTGACTCATGGAAATAAACCCCTTCTGCTGAAAACGAATCGCAAAAGTGTCCAAGTAAAGATTGGTAATATAATCCCAGTTTGGCATGTGTATCCAGATTACATTCAGGTAAGTCATATCATCGTTCACCGAGTACAGCTCACTCTTGTGTAACTATGACTCACCTGTATGTAGACTACAGCTCACTTGTGTATAGACTATGACTCACCTGTGTGTAGACTATGACTCACCTGTGTGTAGACTACGGCTCACCTGTGTGTGGACTACAGCTCACTTGTGTATAGATTATAGCTTACTTGTGTGTAGACTATGACTCACCTGTGTGTAGAATACAGCTCACCTGTGTGTAGACTATAGCTCACTTGTGTGTAGAATATAGCTCACTTGTGTGTAGACTATGACTCACCTGTGTGTAGACTATGACTCACCTGTGTGTAGACTATAGCTCACTTGTGTGTAGACTATGACTCACATGTATGTAGACTATTGCTCACTTGTGTGTAGACTATGACTTACCTGTGTGTAGAATACAGCTCACCCGTGTGTAGATTATAGCTCACTTGTGTGTAGACTATAGCTCACTTGTGCGTAGACAATGACTCACCTGTGTGTAGACTATAACTCACTTGTGTGTAGATTATAGCTCACTTGTGTGTAGACTATGACTTACCTGTGTGTAGAATACAGCTCACCTGTGTGTAGACTATAGCTCACTTGTGTGTAGACTATAGCTCACTTGTGTGTAGACTATAGCTCACCTGTGTGTAGACTATAGCTCACTTGTGTGTAGACTATAGCTCACTTGTGTGTAGACTATGACTCACCTGTGTGTAGATTGTAGCTCACCCGTGTGTAGACTATGGCTTACCTGTGTGTGGACTAAGACTTACCTGTGTGTACACTATGATTCACCTGTGTGTAGGATATGACGCCCATGATTGTAAATTATGGCTTGCCTGTGTTCATTGTATAGGTGCTATCATATAGTAATATGTTCCAAGGAGGAGGTGAGAAGTGCACATTTATTATCAGTAAGGACAAGGACGCGCAAAGTGATGAAACTCGATTCGACTGTGTTATTGAAATGGGACAAGTTGACAACCAACCAGAGGAAAACATTACCTTGGTTATTTCAGAAGCCATACAGTGCAGACCAATACAGGTAATTTATGTTGTAAGCTGTAGTGTAGTGTAGTGTAGTGTAGTGTAGTGTAGTGTAGTGTAGTGTAGTGTAGTGTAGTGTAGTGTAGTGTAGTGTAGTGTAGTGTAGTGTAGTGTAGTGTAGTGTAGTGTAGTGTAGTGTAGTGTAGTGTAGTGTAGTGTAGTGTAGTGTAGTGTAGATACACCAGTCATGAATAAAGGTCTCTTGTTTCGGGGATGGGGCACGAGAATATAATCTATCAATATCACCTACATCAACTGTCCATGATAATTAGTTATTTCTCCGTGACTAAACCCCGATTCTAGTCAATCTCTCGGGATTCACATTTTATAAATTCTATTATATTACATTCACATTTATTGTTGTTATTTATCACAGGACAAAGATTCACTAGAAAGGGCAGTATTTGCAACTTCGTCCAAAACCACAGCAGCATTTAAATTCAGCGAAGTTAAACAACTGGAAGCTCTTGACATTGAAAACGACGTCGGAACTGACTGGCGATTATTTGCGGAAAAAATACTGAATCTGACATTTGCAGAAATTTCACAAATTCAACATAAATCCAAGAGTCCTATGTCCACCTTGATTTCCATATGGGAGTCTAGGCACATCAATCCATCGATGGACGATTTTGCACAACTCCACAAATTCTTCTCAGATAATCAAATGGGTGTAGCCGGAGTCATCATGGATCACGTGAGAGAGCATTTTGGTGTAGATGCATGTGACAGCCTGCTTGCTGGAATCGCGCCATCACAGGCAGCTATCGACCAATCTTTTCGGATTTCTGCAGATGTTCGTCGTCGTAACAAAGCAGTCGGCTTTAAATTAAAAGGTGATGTACAAAGTATCTCAACTGGTGATTCGGGTTTCACATCGTCGGCTCTGAACTGAATAATCTCATCTCCACGTTTATCGTCGACCGTTTTCGCGGATGTTAAAGGTGACAGCGTCCTCATACGGTGACAACGGAAGCCTTTGGGTGAATATTTAAAGCGGGGAGTCGTCACCAGCGCATGCGGCAGGCCATAGCGTGTCGTTGTTTACAAACAAAATCTACCCATAAGCCTTTGCGTTTTTAAGCAAGCTCTTTAGGGCGACCTACAATCGAATTTCGCCCTAAAAATTTCATTTGGACGTATTCTTTTTAATTTTGTTGTTGTATGTCGAACATATGGGCCGGCCAGAGTCAGTCACGTAAATAATGCGGTCGGCAACAAAGGGCTATGATTCCACAGCTAGCGTTGTTATTGTCGCTTAAGACTGCGCAGGGGTGCTATTAGTCCCATATCGAACTTGACGCGACGACCACCGCCCTTTAATTTCTGATTTATAAAGGATTAATCATTCCCGAAATTGCTAATTCCCTGACAACTAGGTCCACGTCTTTAGTAGCTTTTTTTCAAATGCACCAGCTCTTGAAAATTCCATGAGAATCCATTCATAACTTTTTGTGTTATACATGAAAAGTTAGTAATTGTTGTTTCCATGGCAACCATCATCTCTATCGAAATCTAATCGATTGGTCTTCTTGTCTAAAATAAACAAAAAATAGTGTATGCTGGCAAAAGCACAGCCGAAGGTATATGTAATAATACTCAGATGCTTAAAAAAGTATAAAAACGTATATATATATTCAAAAAATAATAGAAATTTCTCAGCATCTGTAAACAAACATGTAATACAAATTTATAATTGTAAGTAAAAAGCCAACGTCCAAAAACTAATGGAGAACCCGGGCATCGATCCCGGTACCTCTCACATGCTAAGCGAGCGCTCTACCATCTGAGCTAGTTCCCCAAGTTACGTACAATGGTCAAATGACTGGCCCAAGTAAACTCCAGCGCCCTCTAGTGTTCCAAATATGTTTTTGCTGTAGTAGAAATAATAACTTGAAGCACGTATCGTTTCAGTCTGTCTATGTATCCTCGGGGACGGAGCTACGTCACGGACGTTCTACGTTGCTAAGACGCGCACAACTTTACCACGTATTTTTATGGGCTCTTTTCGCGCTGCTGTGGAACGCCGGTCGAGCCGGTGAAAATTCGAGAAAACAACACCAACTCAACTTTGAAGTAATCCTGAACAACCAAATTCATATATGTTACACACGTAGGGCTAATCTTGTTACACTGTTCAGGGGATTCTCAACAACCATCGCGAAGTACCGTTTTCTGCGAGTTTTGGGTCTTTGTTTTCACCGCGAGGGTTGCCAGGCGGTAGAAAATGCCCGTATGTCCACCCCGAGGATACTCAAATTTTGTATTTTTGTTATTGTATTTCAAATCAGCTGTTACTGTAAATACATTAAATATTCAATGGGTTTTAATTTAACTATTTTCGCTGCTAAGTAAATATTATTTACGCATGAAGACGTAAATCAACAATGGAACTCATTGTTTCCATAGCAAATCCGTGTACATAAAACCCTGTGAATTACTCAAAACATTAAAATAATGAAATTAAATGTCAGTGAAAAATTACGAGCTGTTGTTTAAAAACAAAACACTGATCAGGTGGTGCTCTTCGTTTTTTTTTTTTTTTTTTTTTTTTTTTTGTGTGTGTGTGTGTTTTTTGTTTTGTTTTCGTCGTGTGAATTCTGTTATCTGAAGGTGTGTATTCTACCATATATTTTGAACACAATATAGTAATTGTCACCGAGAAAGTTTTGTAAAAGGGTACACGGCCGCCCTCTACGGTCGGTTAGTTTTCGGCACTATGTTAATAAAAGATGGAATTTATTACTAATACACAAGTCTGTTTGAGCTACTTTATGACGTAACAATCCAAGTGCGGTGGCCCTCATATTTTCACGCAAAATAAACAGCATATTTTTAATACAGGGATAGGGTCGGGAAAAACTCAAATCTCAATGTCATGTTTGTCCTGGATCCAGGGAGTTTTGTTCTCCCAATAAACGCACGTATACTATACAAATGTGTTTTAATCAGTTCAAATCGGTCATAATTAAATCGTGAGACGTTCACGTTGTATGTTAGTGGATGGAAAATATTGTGTCCAACGTTTCTATTGGCGTGCATTATACACAAATGTCTAAGCAAACATGTGAATTGAAATAATGGTACTACGTAAGATTCTGTGTCCAGGTTAAGTACAAGTGCTGTGACAAATTGCAATCATGTTATGTTTGTACCAACGCAAACAGACAAACAACGTAACGACGTGGAAATGAACATTTTGAGGCATTGAGGGGAAATGTCGAAAGGGTTAATTTAGAAACGTGGTTACAATGTTATAAAATACTAACAGTCGAAACTTGATGATTCAGTAAATGATGATTCTGCTCGTATTGTTAGAAAAACACAAATATATTTATTAGAGTAGAATATGATATATTATTGGAATTAAGTATGGAGAGTGCGGATGGATTATTTTTATTTGTTGTTATTGTATGTGTGGCGCCATTCCGTATGTTGCCTGTCAGTGGCGTGATGTGGTGGTTGCACGAAGTAAACCGTGGCAAGCATAACATGCCAGTGCCATATTCACCCAACTGATATATTGATTAAAACTGATCCGGAACAGGTAATTTGTCTGGTACTTGGGGATCTCTTGATAATCGTAACTATGGTTTTACGCACTGACATAACAGTGGTAAAATGGAATCGTCCAAGCCAGAGGTGACAACCCAGGGGAATATATTGTGAGTTGCACAGGACTGAACAGTGATCAGTAGAGATACATCCATCGTGGTTGTTGGTCGCTTGCCAACATGGGCAGTCATAAACGCACAACGTTCATCATATTGGCATTTAACGGCAGTCAACGCCACAATACTTGCGTTTTAATGTATACGTCTGTATGAATTCAACTTCAAGTTTATTACCGTAAAAACCTGGTTTCTATATTGATTGCATAGTACCTCAATACATTCACGTTTACGTGCAAAGTCTGGTTATGGTGGTGTATTTAATTGGTTACCGGCGTTGCTGCTGACGCTGTTAGATGTAATTGAGGAATGCACAAGTTGAATGTCTAACATGGCATATCTGAATTGAAATATGAGGTGTCTCTGAAAATTCATTGGACGTTACATCTTTATATTGAGCTGGGGCACGACCGTGTTGACTTTTGGCTTGAAGGTGTGCCATAAACTCTGGTAACAAATGGAGTTGCTATAAACAATTTAACATACTGAAGTACTCGACCCCACCTACTGTATTTAATAATGTCATCGCGGGGTTGACGCTATCCCTGGAGAAGGCAGTACATAATTCTAACGTGTACTCAGCCTGCGTCGCGGTATTTATATAACGACCACCTGTTTACGGGTACTTGAGTAGCCTCCGCAAATGTTATATATGTGTTTGCGCTTTTCGGTGTCATGTGACTCACTGAAATGACGTCAAGATTGAAGAGTGTGCGTTAAGATTGGAATTCTCGCGTTATCTGTAATCATGCGTGGCTTCTATTGAAAGAAAAATCAAAGATTACCTCAATGCTCACTCAACCCTATACGTTGCGTTTATAGTTGTCATGGCAATGCGTGCGGCCACGACGCTTCGTGTAGTGAGTTAGGTGGTCTAATTTCCATGTAAATAGACAGGTAGCCCTACAATGTCAACAAGTTAAGGACCCTTTCCAAAATAAGTTACCATTGCTGTACATTGCTATGAGACAGCCGAAATAACTCGTGTCTTCATTACGCGGACATTCTCCCAGTGGTGACGCATCGGAGCGTATGGAATCGGTTCACCTTGGTGTGAAAGCTGCGAATGATTGCAAACTTGAACTCGGCGCTGTACTTTCTGTTCTGCGTTCAAAGGCACGGATTGTTGGCATTATTATTGTGTAATTTGAAGGACTTTTACTAATCACGTTGTTACATTGCCGTAGGATATACTCATCTATTGTCAGAAACCATTGTGGAAATTCAACCCATCTATTCTTTTCTCTTATCGAGCTGTTGTATATTTGCTAGTATTCAGCTGAGAATGCATTTGACTGCCCTGGAGTCGCTGGTACCTTAAATGTAGCATCTTAATAGCGTCGGTACGACTCACACTGATGATTTATAATAATACATGCTGACAATGGCCGAGAAAAGAAAAGGAATGCTGCGTCAAGGCGATCTAGTGGATCACATGCTGAAAGTCGCGTGAGTATCAACACCTTGTTATCGATTCCTCGACTGCGAGAATGTGTCTGTGTGTGTGTGAAAGGGATTAGTCGATGAGAGTGCAGTAAGTGTGTATTATTGTCTTCAATTATTTGTTGAACTTTTCATCGAATGATCCCGAATACAAGGTTTATTTATTGATCGCTGTGATCAATCTATATAGAAGGAGATGCCCAGTGTGTTGCGGCCATCGTAAGCTAACATATTTCAATCTGAAGTGTATGAACACACAATTGCGTATGCAGGGGAAAACCGGCGTGTGCGACCTTGGCAAAACAAAATGTGTATATCTGTCAAAACAACTGACGATTGTTATTATATCGGCAACTGTACGTATATGTCGCATTGCCTGGGCTTCGATATATGCGTGTTGTGTTGTGTAGAGTATGGATTCTACATCTTTGTCCAATTTTGGCAATCGTGTCGGTATTTGTGTACCTAGCCATCGCCCGCAACGTTCCGCTTGGCATCACCTGCAAAGACCGTGTTGACAATGTGTGCCGAATCTGTTGATCATATCGGTTTGACCACAGACCCCAGAGGTAAAAAGTCTGTGGGTAAAGCCATGCGACTATTATAAGTGCAAATGGGGACATATGTTGTCATCAGGGTCTCGGTTGTCACGAGGTAGCGTCGCTGTCAACAACACACGATTGATTGATACTCAATGATTGATAATCAATTATATTTGATGGGTGATACATGGTTTGGTCTACTAATACTAGTATATAAAATTGCGGGTAATCGTTTTTTT